AGATGCAGGCTTTGTGGTGTACGTGCGCGTTGCCCGGTAGGGGTGGGGTGAAGGGGGTCTTAAAGTGTCATCATGCGTTAGTGTTCCGTGCGCGTTGTTCCATTGAGTGGTGCAGTATGGTTTGCTAGCGGGTCGCCCACCAACGTGCGCAATTAATCGACCCGACTGGGCTCTGGGGGGAGGGTTTGTGGAGGGCGACACATCACACACGCCGATGATCCCCAAAGGGTCGGCGGTTTTCACGCCGCCCATATATGGTAGCGGAGCAGCGGTTCCTTCCGCGGTTCCAGCGCAGACTCTTGTTTTGGTGTCGAAAGACAGAGTAGCGCTTACGGTTTTCGTGGCCCGCGCCCGCGGGTGGCTGACGCGCGCGGCGTGCGGAGGAGCGTTCTCGGAAACGAAACATTTGAAGCAGAAGCAAGTGTAACATCATCGACAGGCAAAAGGAGCCAAAGTGGTGTGCGGAGCCTGTAAGGCACTCGGGCTCACAACGCGCAGTTGCCAGGCGTATCAGTGTAACGGCCCGTGCAAGAGACGACTACCAAAGTCTGCGTACCTCGACCCGCGCAATGTCCCGCGCGACGCAAAGAAGGGCACCCTGAAGTGCAAGACATGCACATGATGCCCTCTCGGGTGCGCGTACTGGGGAGAAAAAGGAGGACGGGGGAAAAGGATGGGCGGTGAGGCGGGAAATTGGGAGAATAAGCGTCGAGGAGGATAAGGTGAAGCGGGGCAGGAAGAAGAGGAGAGGAACGAGGAGGAAGTGGAACAAGAGAAGGAAGAGGAGGAGGAGGAGGAGGAGGAGGAGGAGGAGGAGTAGGAGGAGGAGGAGGAGGAGGAGGACAAGGGATACCCTGAGTAGAGGCTTGTTGTGTGTATGGGGGTCTCGCGGCACGCTTCTCCAAGGCCTTCGGAAGGCTGTTTTGAAACCACTTATGGACCAGGATGGAAAAGAAGGGCGAGGAGAAGGAGAAGGACACGGAAGGACTGCTCTTGGTCATGGGTTATGGGTTAGAGGTTCTTGGATGTGTACTGGGATCTCGCGGCACGTCTCTCGGAGGCCTGTCGAATACGGTTTTGAAACCACTTGGGGGCCGTCTCGGAGCCTCTGAGGGGCTTCTTGGGGGTTTTGGGGGCGTCTTGGGGGCCTCTTGGGGGCCTCTGGCGGCCTCTTTGGGCACTTTTGGGGCCCCCTGGTGGTCCTGGGGGCGGAAAGCTAGATGTTTTGAATTTTTGGTGGCTCTCTTGGGCCCCTCTTGGTGCCGTCTTGGAGCCCTCTTGGGCCGTCTTGGGGACCTCTTTGGCCGTCTTGGGGCCGTTTCGGAGCCTCTGGGGGGCTTCTTGGGGGTTCCTTGGGGCGTCTTGGGGGCCTTTTGGAAGCCTCTGGCGGCCTCTTGGGGCACTATTGGGGCCCCCTGGGATTCCTGAGGGCGGAAAACTAGATGTTTTGAATTGTTTGTGGCCCTCTTGGGCGCCTCTTGGTGCCGTCTTGGGGCCCTCTTGGGCCGTCTTGGGGGCCTCTTCGGCCGTTTGGGGGCCATCTTGGGCCGTTTTGGGGCCGTCTTGTAGGCCTCTTGGGCCGTCTTGGAGCTGTCTTCGGGGCCTCTTGGGCCGTCTTGGAGCGTCGGGAAGCCGAAAAGGCGAAAAAACAAAAAACACAGAAACACATATGGAAAATCAACAATTTTAGCCTTTCGGGGCCCTCTTGGGAGGCTTGTTTGGGACCTCTTGGGTTGTCTTCGAGGCCTCTTGGCCCGTCTTGGGGTCATCTTGGGCGTCTTGGAGCGCTGGTTTGGCGTCTCGGGGCCCTCGTGGGCCGTCTTGGACGCCTCTTGGAGCATTCTTGGCCCATCTTTAGGCCTTCTTGGGCCCAGGAGAGCCCGTGAGTCGCTCGTCGGGCCCCCCCCCCGTCCAAATCGACCGGACCGGGCTCCCGGGGGAGGGGTTTGGGGAGGGGGGAGCATCTCACACGCCGATGATCCCCAAGGGGTCGGCGGATTCCCGGGAGTTGGCACTTCATATTGTGTTTGTCACAATCACAAGCCTCCTGTACTGCTTAATTACATACAGAATTTCTGGGAATGTGCATTTCATACAGTGTTTGCCCTAATCAGAACCCTCGTGTATCGTTTCTAATACACAACATGGCCAGGAGTGGGCATGCCATAGTGTGTTTGTCACAATCAGAAGTCTCGTGTATTGTTTTCTTCACCAGATCGCCGGGAGATTGCATTTCAGAGCGTGTTTGTCACAACCAGAGCCTCGTGTATTGTTTTTTACACAGGATTGGCTGGAGTTGGCCTGTCATAGCGTGTTTGTCACAATCAGAAGCCTCGTGTATTGTTTGTTTCACCGGATTGCCGGGAGATTGCAATTCAGAGTGTGTTTGTCACAACCAAAGCCTCGTGTATTGTTTTTTACACAGGATTGGCTGGAGTTGGCCTGTCATAGCGTGTTTGTCACAATCAGAAACCTCGTGTATTGTGTTTAGGGTTGACAGGAGTTTGCATCTCATAGCGTGTTTGTCACAAACAGAAGCCTCGTGACATGTTTTTCCACAGGAGTGCTAGAGTTGGTATTTTATAGTGTGCTTTTCACAATCGTGTTGGTCAAGTTGTTCCGACAGTCGATTGTGCGAGTAAGGAGACAGAGAAACGACGACGCTCCGGAAATGGTTTTTCAGGGGACTCGAAGATAGTCACCACTCTGAAAATCACGACAAGCATACGAAAACGAGGATCGACGAAACATCGAACATTAATCGAAGGTCCAAATGATTTTGTTCTCTGGGGGTCGGTCGTCGGAAAAGACATCCGGGATGAAAAATTGTTGTGAAACATCAGAATCGTCTCGAACGGCTGCTGGGGTATGAGTTCCGTTTTGGAACTCGAGCAGGATTGAATCTCGGTTCTCACAGGTACATGCTTTAGCCTTCTAACTATTCTGTGTGTTCTTTTCCTGCTCAGCGTGCTCTTCCTTCTTGTTCTCCTCTTTCTCTCCTCCTTCTCCTCGTTCCTTCTCCTCCTCCCCCAGTCGTCATACGCAGAGTCCGCGTCGGAAAACAGGAGTGTGCCGATACATCATCCAGTAGGATACGGCATGACGCGTTCCCCCAGCTGGAACGTTGCACGTTGCGCCCTGCACTCCTCCAATGAGGACACCACGTCCGACACGGGAGCGATCCGAAGCTCGCTGAGAGTCGCCACGGTCACAGAGGTGGTTGCTCGTCTAATGTTCAACCACCTGGAGACCTCTACCCCGATGAACGGTACCGTTTCAAAACATCCTCCCCCCCATTCATCATTCTTCTCCCCATTCTCTCAGCAATCCATCCATTCATCGATCTAGCCTCCTCCATCTCCTTCTTCCTTCTTCGCTCAATTCAACTGTCCAATCCTGTGCTCCCACATTTCCCTCGTCATCTTCGCCCCGGCGTCGTTTCTGGATAAGTTGATCGGGATATGTGATCGTCAATACATCAACCAACGAGCAAGGCAACGAACCAACCAGGCACCAACTGACCCAACCAGCAAACCATCAACTACCAGATCAACCCACCAGTTCACGAACGACCCCATAACCAAGCACCAATCAACCAACCAACGAAGCAATCAACCAACGAACCAATCAACCGACCAAACAATCAACGATCTTATCGTCGTCGTCGTCGTTGTCGCCGTCGTCGTCTTCGTCGCCCTCCCCTCTCCCCCCTCTCGTTTAACGGCGACAACGACGACGACAACCACCACGACAATCAACACCACGATCACCATGAAGAAGATGAAGAAGAAAAGGCATATCATAATAATCAGACGAATAAGACGATGACGACGACGACGACGACCATCACCACGACAACAAAGGCAGCCTGGAACGCGAGAGCCCGAAGGCGCAAGGGGGGCACTCAGCCCTAACTAGAGCACTCAGCCTGTCGTGCCTCTATGCCCGTGGGATAAAGCGAGGACCGAGAAAGCCGGAGAAGCAGAACCGGACGCGACGCCAGACGAGACGCTGGTCAATCCTCTCGGAGACCGCCTTGCGAAAGCTCGTGGCCTGAATCCTCAGATTTCCGGAGCGCACCACCGGCCCTCACTTTCCCGGCTCAACCCGAATCACTTTCCCGGCCCAACCCGAAAAAAAACACGCTACAACCCCAAAAAACGCCCCCCAAAAAAACCCTCCCCCCCCTAAAAAACACACACGCCCCAATCTAGAAAACACCCGGAGAGAGTATTTTTCAGAGTTGACATCCGTTTTTGTTGTCTGTTTTTTTTGGGGGGGGGGCTGGAGCATTACCAAAGCGCCAACCCGAAATAAGAACCCGCAGCTCCCGGGGGCATCCTGGGGCTTCCTGGGATTCCCTGGGGGCTTCCTGACACTTCCTAGGGCTTCCTGAATCCTCCTGGAATTACTTGTGGCTTCCTGGGCCCTCCTGAAGCCTCCTGGGGCTTCCTGGGGGTCGCTGGGGCTTCTCCTGAGGCCTCCTGGGGCCTCCTGAGGCTTCCTGGGGTCTCGTCGGCTCGTGCTGACATGCCAGCGTAGTCTTTGAGATGCGCCAGGTATTTCGTATCGGTAACCGCCATCGCGGCTGCATCAGCTGTGGCAAACCACCTTGCCGATCTGATTTCGGTCCCCAGTTGTGCCAGCACTGTTTCTTATGTTGTTGGAGGGCGGCTGGGAATGGGCATGCCATGCTTGACGCGCTCGAGCTGGCTAGCTTGACTCCCTCCGCTCGGAGGTTGCCAGACGTGACCCTGGCCCAAGATGCCCTCAGCTTTTCGCGCCAGTTTGGGGCCCCCAGGGCCCTCCTGGTCTCGTGAGGGGGCCCTGGGGGCCACGAAGGGCTCCCTGGAAATCGTGGGGCAAAACCGTAGGCCAGGGCCGCCTTCGGCGGGATCCGATCCCCCGCACTTTGCTTCTCCCCCCCCGAGGATGCGCACGGGGGAGGAAGGGGGTGCTGGGGGTGGGAAGTGACCTCACCTGGACCCGGGCCGGCGCAGGTCCCGCGCTCGCCCCTGGAGGACCGCCGCGGCGCGGGGAGGGGGGGGGGGCGACGGAGAAGCCCACTGGCCTCAAAGGTCGAAGAAGAACACGCTGCATAGACATGACCTTTCAGAGGTCCGCGCGGGGGATTTTCTTGGATCGGTGCTGGGCTTCCCTGGCGGCGCCTCCAGCGCCGCCCCCGGCGCGCTCCACGCGCCGGGGAGGGGGTCCAGCACCTGTCTGCAAAACATTTGACCCTGCCGGTTATAGAGCGACCCACGTCTGGGAGTTTGTGTACAGGCCCGCTCGGTCTAGTGCAATTGTTTTTTCGAAGTAAGAAGAGGCTGGTCGGCCTTATCGATACGCGTGGAATGGGCATCGGCCCCTCACGTTCCCACTCGTTGGCTGTCGTAATGGATCGACCCGTTTGCGAATAAGTTTGAGGCCATCTGAACACAAGGGAAGCATTGGCATTAGGCAGTATGGACCATCTCTGCGGCCGCTGGGGCTCACGCTCGCCCGCGCTCGATTCTTGAGGTTTGCCACCACCTCATCCATGCTCAAAGCCCCGCGGGGGTAAAGGCTTGCTCGCTCACCTTTTGTTGTGTCTGGAAGGGGCAACAGTCCCTCTCGTTCTGGATCGTTTCGCATTGCACTTGCGGCCGTCGTTATGCATCGAATTGATCGCGAATACAAATTAGACCAGCTCATCAAATATGCATATGTATATAATGCTTCTCGTGGCGTAGGTCTGACTGCACGCAAAGGGGAACTTCCAAGGTGCGGCATCCCTGTTCCACGTCCTTACACGCCTACTGGCAGGCGGCTCGGTGGATACCCGGGAACCAGGAGCCACTGTCGGTGGACCAACAGTTGTTTTTCTTGCTCGTTTGCAAGGTTATGCGTCTGTTATTTACGGATGCCAAAATGCTTGAGAACAGCCCTGGCTTTGGAGGGGTACTTTTCTGTTGTCGGTGTCCTGGCCCTTCACTTTGGAATGCCTCTTGTTCGTGTTGCTTCATGAGGCATTCGGCGGAGGAGCTCATGGCTTGCCCCGCGTTCTTGTCTCTTGGTGTCGACTGTGCGGCGTGTGCAGTGGAGTCGCGAAAGGGTGTGCCCTCCTAAGGAAGCGAGGGGGTCTGGGAAGGAGGAGACCTGAGTAGCGTCTTAGAAGCCCTAGAGGCTTCGAGAAAAGGCCTCTCAGAAATCCACAGGGTTTCCCAAAAAAACTCCTGCCTTCTTATAACACCTCCAGCCACCCCTTGTGCGTGCCACTCGCAGGAGACCGCCCTCAGCTCTTTTAGGGCATTGCTGAGCGACACGGGCAATTCCCTGATGGTCTCGATGTCGACCGACCGCAAGTGGAGCGTCTTGGCCGAGAGGCTGTACGGTGTCCTCGGCGACGCCTGGGACGAGGATCTGCACAGGAGGGGCGGGAGGCGGCAAGAGAGGGAAGAGCCGAACACTGTGGGGAGAAGGCGCTTCAGACCCCGAGGACTGTGTGCTCCTCCTCATCATCGTCATCAGCATCATCATCATCAGCAGCGTGCCTCCTCATCCTCGCCCTTCAGCATCATCAGCATCATCATCGTGCTTCCTCATTCTCGCCCTTCAGCATCATCATCATCATCATCATCATCATCATCATCATCATCATCATCATCATCACCACCATCATCATCATCATCATCAGCATCAGCATCATCATCATTATCATCATCACCACCACCATCATCACCAGTATCATCATCATCATCATCATCATCATCATAATCAACAGCATCAACATCAACATCGACATCAACATCATCATCATTATCATCATCATCATTATCATCATTATCATTATCATCAGCAGCATCATCATCACCATACTCATCTTTATCATCATCATCATCTTCATCATCACCATCATCATCATCATCACCATCATCATCATCATCATCATCATCATCAGTAGTATCACCATCAGCATCATCATCAGCATCTGCATCAGCATCAACATCAATCCGCACCGTCGTCACTATCACCTTCGCCCTGCGCTGTCACAGGTGGCACCGCACACATCAGGTCACAGGGAGTGGCTTCGGTGGTTTTCTTTCGCCTCGAGGGAGGCACGGCCTGGCACAGCGCGAGCGATGCTGTCCCAGGTGGCGCTGCACATATTGTCTCGATGGTTCTGCCGCATGGCATAATAGTATTCGCTATTCTTGTGAGATTGGTGACAGGTCAGTTTCCTGGCGTGACTTTTTCTTTCGATTGTCTTGCCCAGGGAGTGGTTTCGATGGTCGGTTTTCGGCCTGCGGGTGGCGCGGCCAGGTGGATGGCGTGAGCTGTGTTCTCCCAGGTGACGCCGCCGCTGTGAATGGCAGTTTCCTCTTGCGTCCGAAGTGGGTTTGGCGCGAACTCGAGCTGGATTCGGCGTGGATTCGACGCACATCGAAGCGTTTGGCACGGGTTCGGCGCGGATGGCGGCGCGATGAGACAGAGCAGAGTCTGTACCCCGAAGATGCAGGTTTCTCCTTCTTGCGGGCCTCGCTGCCCCACCGACGGCAGGCAGCATACAGTCAACCATGATAGTAAGGATGGGGCAACTTTCCAAGGCTACCCTTGCATCCTTGCCCCTCCGGTATTCGGCATCCTTCGGCATTCTTCTGCGCTCCGCACGGAAAACGTAAACCTGGCGGTCCAAGGCCCTTGCATCCTTACCGTGCATCCTTACAGTCCTGGTGGAGGGTACCATCCATGTTAGTCTTGGCCCAGTGCGGGTTCGGGTTCGATCGGGCATTCCCCGGCAGTTCTAGACGCTTCGCCTATCCCCACCAGCCCATCCAGAAACGATGTCCAGGCGAGTTGAGGTGATCAGGGAAGTGCGGCAGCAAAGAGGAGGACTGCCGAACCGTGCAAAGGAGTGAGGAGGAGAAGGAGGAGGTGGATGGATGGATGGATGAGGGAGTGGGAAGAAGGAGGATGAATAGGATGAGGAGGATGCGGAGGCGGAGGAGGCGGAGGAGGAGGAGGAGGAGGAGGAGGAGGAGGAGGGAGGAAGAGAAGGAGGAGGAGGGCACGCACAGGGGCCAGAGGTCTCTTGGATGCCTCTCGGAGCCTCTTGGAGGCCTCTTGGGACGTCTTGGGGGTCTCTTGGCGATCCTGGGGGGCTCTTCGGGGTCTCGGGTGCCACGGGGGGGGCCTCTTGGGGCCGCTGAGGGGCCTCCTTGGGGCCTCTTGGGGGCCTCGTGGGGCCATCTTGGGGCCATCTTGGGACCTCTTGGGGACTCCTGGGCGCTTCCTGGGGCTATATTGGAGGAGATCGGTCAACGAAGGGGAGTCCCTCAATTCAGGTCCCCCCCAGGAGGCCAAAATGGGGCGAACACCCTAGTAAAATCACTGATTTTGGCTTCCTCGCCGAGGCCGTTTTGGACGCTCTAACTCCTTTCGGCGCCCCCCGTCCAGGTCCAGGGGAGGGGGGAGGGGGAGGGGTAAACTCCTCCCCGAAGGGGAAGAGGGATGGGTGGAAGAGGAAACGCCCTAAACCACCGACGCCCAGAGGGCTGGCGGGATTCGCGCCCGCCCTGGTTTCGAAGCCAGGTCAGCACGATCTGTCCGCAGTTGTGGCCTTCGTCTACGTGTTCCTTGTCGTCGTCGTCGTCCTTCTCCTACTGCTCCTGCTCTCCCTCTTCCTCGTGTTCACCCCATTCCTCCTCCTTTTTGTCCCTCTCCCTCCTCCACTTCCTCGTCTCCTTTTCCTCTTTTTTTTTTCCTCCTCCTCCTCCTCCTCGTCAGCCTCCACGGGACAATCCCATTTTGGCATGGGCCGACCAGCGCCCCCAGGCATGTCTCTCACTGTTCAGACACCCCCCCAAGGTGTCAGTTTCGAGCGGCCGCCATGCAAACACGTTGCGGCGCGTGGGGTCCTCCTTTTCATGAGACAAGGAGGCAGGTGGAAGGATGTAGCTCGGCATTTGTGCAATTATGAGCACTCCAGGCGCCCAGGTCGCGATCCATCCCCCTTGCATTCAGGACCGTCTTGGACGTTTCCTTCGTTTCCAATGGGGCCACACCGGGGGAAGCTCCTGCTGACCCACACGCTGCGCGATGTTAGCCTCGGACCAGTTTTGTCCGCCAGGCGTGTCCCCATCATGCTACTTGGCACAACCTCACGGTATGGATCCATTTACAACGAAACAATACGGTCGTGCAGTCCACATAGGGAGAGCATGCGCCACTGTCTGTTCAGGTATATGTCGGAGGAGCATCACGTGTGCTCCTTGAGCACTTGTCAAGGATGTTCACCGACGTACAATCACGGTGGCGGTGTTTCGACGGCGAGGGTGGGCTACATATGTTCTACGAGAGACGCGTGCGAACATGCGACGTCACGCTGAGTGTGACGGAGGACGGGCGACGCGCTGCAGCTAAGCGGCCCACTTTCTAGAGGGGGTCATTTCATTATGGCTGCAGTTCTAGAAATCGGTCCGTGCGAACAGAGTGCGTTGGGATCACAACAAAATTAGTCGCGCCGGTCTGTTCGGGGAAAATACCAGCTTTTCGAGTCAGTGGAATGAACGTTCGGTCGGACAGGTTGCGTTTGAGGCAGAACGGTTGTCCAAACAGAGTTCTGATTAGATCCATTTCAAAAACCACAGTGCTGTGGGACCGATGGCGCGGGATTGGTTCAGGCGCGGCCAAAACACGTGGCTAGGCCTAGCGACGTTTCAGAAGCGTTGGACACATGAATGAAGCTTCGACTTCATATCCGTTCGTTCGGCCCCTGCCTTCCTTTCCCCCCATCAGAGTCGTTCGTTCCGATCGCTGTTGAGTTGGTTGGCCTGCTGGGTGTCGCTATGGAGTCGTTGCTGGAATTGCTCCAAGTCGCTGCGAGCGGACATATTATGCCGGCGTGTCAGGATTGCAATGCTTGTCGAGAAGGAATGTGCGAATTTGCCAAAGGTGCCGCAAGGTTGACAGTGAAGTTGGGGAGCTTACGCATCGTGACAGGATCCGTCAGCTTGACTTGCAGGTGTCCGAGATTGTTGAACCGTGGGGCGAGAAATGCGCAGCTACCTTGCTATTAATTAGGAAGCTTATCGGCAAAGCGTTGGGCTCAAAGCTTTGACTGTTCTCTTCCCCGCGCATTTACTTAGATCGCGACACCTGGTCCGCAGTTTTGCCCAAGCCTGGTCCCTGTTGCGCCCCTACGTACGATGGCGAGATGGATGCTCGACTGACGAGAGAGCCTAGACAAGACGACATGATCGAATCCACGCTAGCCACTAAAGAGGTGCACGGCGAAGTGCGGGGCTGCAGGCCAAACTTGGCCGCGCGCATCCGTCGCGGTCGATTCCCGCGGGTATTTCGAGAGTGCGTTTTTGGACCCGGGCCTTAGAACCTCGCAAGAGAGCGGGATTAGGAGCTGCTGCGGAAAGCTGGGACTTGCTCACCAGACACTGCCTATTCATAGTTCTAGCAGCGGTACGCGTTCACGCGGAAGCCACTTTTTGTTTCGCGTTGCAACCAGGCATTTTACTCTGAGCAAATCTAGTGGCAAGACAGGGTCTGCTGGACTACGACTTGCGTCAAGCTTAGACGTGTTTGGCAGGGCGTACTAGCAGTGCGTCTGGGATGCTAACCCGTCTGCGTCGCCAGCAGCGCCCGGGAGTTACGCGCGCGGTCTTCCGCGGGCACGGCGCGCGCGCGGGCGGGGGGGCATTCGAGTTCGGCGCCTGGCACGCGAGGGTTTGCACGATGCAGGTGTCGGATCCAACGCGTTCCACAGCGTGGCACACGACGTGCTCCTGATGCGCGCCCGCCTGAACGCGGGCGAGTTTGCCGCTTCGTTGTTTGAGAACGTTTGAAGCAAGGCCACGTCAGTCTGGAGTGCGACGTGGCGTCTTGGAAATGAGGGTCGGTTCAGGCGCGCTTCCCGGGGATTCTAACGCGCGCCTTTGGCCATTGGGCCCGCGCGGCCGTCCGTCGACGGGGTGGTTTGTCAAGAGTGTCTTGCGCTTGGCGTGAAGATCCCGCGGCTGATGTTCTTCCTGGCCGGTGGGTCCGATCGTCTGCGTCCTGCGCCGGGTCGGTTAGACCGATCGATGTCTCTGCAGCGGCGTTTGCCGACCGCGTCGCAAGGGCGCTGCTCGCGCGCCCGCTCGAAGGCCTGATCAGATCTAGCAGATCTAACGCAGCGCACCTGACGGGCAGACTAAGCATCGCGGACGTTCGCGCCGACGCAGGTGAACGAGAGCGCAACGTTTCACGCGGGCGGCCGCGGCGCCACTGCCGCCGGAAGATGCTCCGCGAGGGGCGTTACGCGGAGACGCGGGGATTTGGAGATTGGGGAGCGGTGGGCCCATAGTTGGCCACGCGACGAAATCTCGCAGACATTTGGGCTCTCATCTCCGGGCCGATGGCATCTCTTTCAGACGTGCCTCGGCGCGCGAAGCAGGCCGGGGAAGGGCGAGGTATTTTACGAGGTTTTTGGCAGCGATGTATTAACAAGATATGCAATAAACAAATTTGTTGTTCGCACTGTGGTGGAAGGGGCTCGGATTGCCGGCCCCGCGGCCGCTGTCATGCTCAGCGACGGCGCTCGCGAGCCGGGGGGGGCGCGGGCTGCTGCGGCGGCGAGGGGATCGTCGAGGAGAGAAACCCGCGGGGAGCACCGGTGGGCAGGAAGGGGAGATTTGAAAACGCCAGCTATGACTAACGTGCAAGTGTTCTAGGAATTCCAGCGGGCCTCTGTCTCGCTTCTGTTGCTCCTTCAGAGAATAAAATGGCGGCTGGGTATTATCGCGGCGCCGTCAAGCAGCCGCTTCGCAATTTTGAGGCTTGAGAGGCCACGTTCGTCGACGGCTGTTTTGGGGGGGGGGGGGGGGGCGGTGCTGGGTGCAGGGGGCGGGCAGTGGTTGATTTGAGATTGATCCTCTACGTTCATGATGGCAGAAGCTGGATGCGGATGCCCCCTGCGTCTTCATTCGCGGATGAATGCCCGCGACGCGCGGGGCGCCTCTGATGCAGAAGTCCGGCGCGCATTTCTGGTCGCAGTTCTTCGGGCGTTGGCCAGTGCATACCTGGGTGAACAGATGCTTCCACCTGAATCCCTGAGACGCTCTCCCCCGCCGCTGCCCCCCCCCGCCCCCGCCCTCCTCGGGCTTCGCCTGCAATCGGCTCGATGGGGCGCGTGGGGGTGTCAGCGGCGCGGAGCCCCCCGCTTGGCGCTAGCTGCGTTTGCGTCGAGCTGACCCTCAGCTTCCGACTCATGGTTTTCTTGAATGTGTTGATTATGCGTTCGACGCGCTTACTGTTTGCAGATGCGCAGTCGGCCCAACGCATAGCAAGCGAGCGCGCGCGGGAACGTCTGCTTGACAGAGCGTGCCCGCGGCCCCGCGGCTCCGCCATTGCTTTCCCGCCCGCGCCCCTTCCTCCTTCCGAGCGTCGACCATGCGGCGTTTCATTCGATGGCTCCTCCGAGGCCCAGTGCCTTCGCAGGCAGCATTTGCAATTGGGGGGCCAGGCGCCCGAATTCTCGTCTGATGGATCAGCTGCAATGGGCGGCGCACTTCGCCAATGCGGGAGGTGGGCCCGCCGGCGCCGCCGTGGTTCATGCGGGGGCGCGCGCGGGGGAGAGGCAGGCAGTCGCGGGCGGTGCCGCCGAGATGAAAGCGGACATGGCCATCAAGCTTCGGGGTGTCAGCGCTCAGGAGACGCGCTCATTGGAGGCTGCGCGCGCCGTTCAGTTTGTCCTCGAAGTTGCAGATCCTCTTTGCGTTGCGATGAAGGGGCGCCCATGACAAACATGACTTGCCTCGCGTGAGACGCATGAATGGGCGCGGCCTGGGGGCCCACGACAATTCCACGTTCGCGGGCGTTGTTTTTGTTTTGATGGGTCGCGCCGGCCCGACCCAGCAGGCCACCCTTAGCAAATGTCCAGACATTTTTGAGGCAGGCAATTTGCAGCCCCAGTTCCTTGTCAAGCTTTTCGCACTGGGGAAATGCGCGGTCGCGATCAGCGTCCCAACGCTCGAGCCCACCATCGCGCCATTGTTGAGAGAGAGAGAGAGAGAGAGAGAGAAAGAAAATGGCTGTCTGTACTGGTCCGAGGACTGCTGACTACCTTGAACTGGAGGGGCAAGGTTTGACTGTCCAGCTATAGCCCGGGTGGCTGCGCTGCAGCTTGGACGATCCTCGGCCGCGCGCCGCCGTCTGCCGAAAAGGCGCCGTCGCTGGCGCTTTCCAGTTTCGTGGAGTGCCGAGGACATGCTTTGAGATGGGCACCCCATGTTTCTCCCCGGATCGTTGAAGCATGGGTTTCGGCGGGGCCTTACCTTACATTTCTTCCTCTTCCTTCTCCTCCTTTTCCTCCTTCCCCTTCCTCCCCCTCCTCATCTGACTCCTCCGTTCTCCCTCCCTCCTCCTCCCTTCCCGCCTCTCCTCCTTCCCCCTCTCCTCCCTCCGCCTCCCGCTTCTGGGCCGCGCCTCGAGGTGGGCGGCAGGCCTGCTCTCCAGGGGGTGGTTCAGCAACCTGCGAACACTTTGCCCACGCGTCAGGTGTTCGAAGGATTCGCTGGATTTTCTGGCGTTTTCTGAAGCGCTTCGGGTCCCAGGCTGGCCCCCGCGCGCCAGGTTCCCAAACCGGTTTTTGCTGAATTCCCATGTGTGTTTTCGGGGGGGCCTTCGGGTCCCAGGCTGGCTTCCATCGTCTGCGCTTCGTCGAGGGCCCCCTGTCGATGCCGCAATCGCCCCGAAGGGCCGCCGGAGGCCCGAGCCTGGAGCCCAAAAATCAGACGCAGGGCATCTGGGGCGTGGACAATCGCGCGTGGCAGTCCTGGCCGTAGGGGTGTCCTCCTCGAGGCGGCGGCGAGAGGGCGTGAAGAGGAACGTGTCGTCGCGCATCCCGGGGCACAGCGCGCGAAGCTGGTTGATTTAGCGAATCGTCAGGTGTTGGCGTCCACCGCCACGTCGAGAGCCGTCGCGAGGGGCGGGAGCCCAGGGGATGGGGGGTCGGGATCAGCATTCGATCCATACTCCTGCTTCCCCCACTCTGGTTACCACTCTGGTTGCCAGGTGGCGGGCAGGGCATGGATACAAGTTTTGGCCTCCAAAGGCTCGACGTTCATCCATGCCCCCCTCTCCGCCCCCTCGCACCGTTCTGGCCTCAGCAGGGGCACGGGTCGATTCTCGCTAGGGGGCGCGGAAGGGCCTGGGCGCCAGGCGGCTCCTCCAGGAGTCGGTCGGGCTCGAAGTCAGCTACTCGGAGGCCACGGCGCTGCATCGGGCGTCGCCGGGGGGCAGGTTCTCGATGCCAGGGCGCCCCTCGGTCGAGGATCTCTACCCCTCCCTGATGGAGTTCGAGCTGATGGGGTCGGAGGATCGGGCCGCATCGCCGATGCATCGGCGATGCGGCTCGAGGTGGGGCCGATTTTCTCTACGCCGACGTCGCCGATGCCTTGCCGACGTCGCCGATGCATCGCCGATGCATGTGCGATGTATCGGCGATGCGGCGCGATCCTCCAAGCCCATCAGCTCGGACCCCACATAGGAGGCCTCTAGGATCGAGGGTCGAGGAGCAAGGGACTAGGGTCGAGGATCGATGATCGAGGGGGGATGGAGGGTGGATGAGGGAGGCCTCGCCCTCCCTCCATGCCTGTGCCCTCCTTGTCTGTGCCCTTTGAAAGGGATGCGAAGATTGAGGGACCCATGTGAAAGCAGCAGGGGGGGACGCCAGTAATCAGAACAGGAAAACAACACATAAACACAAAGGGTGTTATCGGTTTTACGCCGGAAGGGGGCGTCGTTGAGAGGGTGCCTGGCACGGATGCGGGGATCGGGGTGGCGTCGATGTTTGAAGCTGCCGGTTTGCGCGGCAAGTGCGTTTAGTTGGTCGCATGTGTTCCGAACGCGTGACGGGTGGAAAGGCCGCTCACCAGCAACTGGCAGTCCTCTGCCCGCGGGCCAGAACAAATCGTCGCGCGCTCGCAACGGGGTGTGGGAAAGGGGGTTGGGAAGAGAGCGCGAGTCTCATTCCCAAAAAGTCCTTTCGATAGGCAGCAAACAATTATTTTTCTATTCATCTTCCGCACGGCCAACCGAACGAACGAGCAACTGTCTCGGCGCGCAGTGTTAGCTTCGCTTGCGCGCATCCTGGCTTCCTTCCGTTGTTTCCTTCGCTTCTTTCGCGCCCTTTTCTTTTTCCTCTTTCCCGTCTTTGCCTTGTTCCGCCCCCCCCGTTTCTCTCCAGCTCTGAGCTGTCACCGCGCGCGAAGAACGCAACCCTAAGGGCGTTGCTGTAATTCCTTCGTGTGCCACGAAGTCTCGTGTAATTCCTTTGTTTGCGGTCTGGTTACACTGCCAGCGCGGGGAGCGCACAAAGGAGTTTCCTTTGTGTACATTCGTTTTCGCCGCCCCCACAAGAGCACGCGCGATTCCTTTGTGTACAGATTGCTTTCCCGCCTCGAGGAGCGCGCGGGGCCTGGCGCTACAATCGCAAGGCCGCGGCGCCTGGCAGTGCGATGCAGCTGCGCCGATACCACGCCCAAAACGATCTTACGTGGATTTCGGCTCTTCTGCCGAAGTCGCGCTGGCAGCTGGCCAGCCACATCGCCGGCCCTGCATGCCCGCGCGCGCTGTTGCGTCCTGCTGCCGCGACGCGTGCTGCCGTCAACGGAGGAACAAACGGACGTTACACGGCGGTTTGGCTGTGCCTAGCCACCATGGAATGTTTGTCGGTAGCGGATCTTGGGATCTCGTCGCCGCCGACAGCCTTGCCACACCATGCATGTCAATTGCATCCTAGAGCACGGCCGTGCGTCAACCCCGGTTCGTATCGCTGGGGATTCAGTGGCATGTGTGAACATGCGTTGCACCGTTGGTGGTGTCAAAACCCTTTGTGTGAAATTCCTTTGTGTGTTTTTTCTGGCTCCTACGTAGGCCCCCCCCACACACCGACTCGCGGCGGCGGCACCCCAATCGCTCCCCGACGGCGGCTCGCAGACGGGGGCGGGACGAGGGGGCGGCCGCCTTCCGAGGAAGCACCACGCCTGCACGAAACCCCCGTGCCCTCCGAGAGTGGGCCGGTCCGGTCCGAGGGGTTCCCCCTCGCCTTGCTTGTGGTGGCGGGCCCCCTCGCCCTGGGGCCCCCTGCGCGCGCCTCCGGCAGCGGCAGGAGGAAAACGTCGGGGGCGAGACGTTTTGCCCTCGAGGGGCGCCGGTTTAGGGCACAGGCGGCCGAACATCAGCAGGCGCTCGTGGCACCCGCTCACGAGCAGTAGTCCGTCTTCGGCGTGGGCGAGGAGATCAAAGCTCTTAGCAATGGCTGGTCAAGGCAAGGGGAGGAGAAGGAAGGGAAAACGGATGATGTTGATGATGATGATGATGCTGATGGTGATGCTGATGAAGAAGAAGATAAGCAGCAACCCTTACTCAGGAGTCCAATGGTCTTGGTAACAGGACTTGAACATACCCTGCACGAGGTCTCCGCGTGACCTGAGACGAGGGGAGGGTGGCAAGAGGACAGTGACAACAAATATTCCTGCACTGACCTGGAATTTGCAAGTATCGGCGGAGGAGGTCTAGGAGGATATTTAGGTGGAGGAGGAGGAGGAGGAGGAGGAGGGAGAGGAGGGAGGGAAGACGGGGCGTTCATGTAGTTTGTGAAGAGCATCTCCTGTCATACGCCTGCAGGAGTACATGTTTGTGACCGCCACTCTCCTGTTTCTTTGGCGGCAGGAGGAGGAAAATGAACGATCTTCGGCCAGCGGCCCCTGCAGCCAAGCAACCCCCAGGATACTGCGTCCCGCTGGCCCCGTCGGTGTGTTCCGCGGCACTTGTAGAACGGCCACGGCGCCTCGACGATCCTCAATTTCGCTCGTGCCCCATTTGTTCGGAGTTTTCGCATGTGCGTGGAGGGGAAGCCAGGAGACGGGGAAGGGGAGGAGGACGACGACGACGAGGAGGAGAAGGAGAACGCGTGCGCGATCGTTTGGTGGCGTGGCGCAGAAGCGCCCGTCCGGCAGGTCCGCGGTCACTACGTGGTGCGCATGCCGCGGCAGAGCCAGGAGCGCATGCCCCGCTTCGAACGGGACCAAGACGCGGGTGAATCAGTGCCAGAGCGTTCCGGAACGCTGTCAGAGCGTTCCCGAACGTTCTGAGAAGGCCGCTTCGCCCGAGACATCGTCCAGAGCCGCCGGATCTCAGAGAGTTTCGATTAATCTTTACCCGATGTTATCCTCGTCCTGGCCTCGTCTTCATGCTCCCCCACCCCTCCTGAGCGAGCGTGCCCCAGGTCCCTCTTCGACTTCCTGATCCCCCCCTCCTCGCCACTCGGCCTCCGCCGCCTCTCTCAGAGGAGCAGTTGCCCCCCCCGCTTTCCGCATCGAAGCAAAACCGAGTCCTTCCGCGTACCTCTAGTGTTAGGTCGGGCATGTCCTGCACAAGAGGAATGCTCAAGTATGGTTGAAAGTTAGTATGGGGACAATTTGTCGTGCTCTTCTGACTCGTTTTGTTTACTGTTGTTGGGTCATTTTTTTGTGTTCTTCCAGACTCCGCATGTAGAAGGACATGCCTGACCTAACGCGTTCCCCATCGAAGCAAGACCGGGTCATTCCGTGCACCTTTCGGTCTGGAAGCGCGCGCGCCGGCTCCCTCCCCCCTGCCGCATCGCACTGCCACGACACGGAATTCCCGGATACCCTCCAAAACGACGTTTGGCATCGTTGCGGGATAGTTTGGTGGCATGCTTGGAAGAATTTGGTCCTCCAGCTTCAGCGCGTCCCCCCCCAGCTCCCCTCCTCGGTCTGCAGCCTTTTTGGTTTTGCAGCCGGTGCGAGCCCCGCGCGCGCTGGCCGCGCGCGGCCCCCCCTTGGCCCGCGGGCGCTCGCGCACGCGCGTGGGCGCCTCGGGACTCGCCGGGGGCTGGAGACCCCGAGGCCCGAAAGGCTTTGGTGATGCCGCCTCCCCAGCGCCGCCCCGCAGCGTCTGGAGCAGGCCGCGGGCGCGGTGTGCGCGCAGCGGGAGGAGGCCGCGGTGGTGGCGCTCGGGCGGCCTGCCCAAAGGGCGGAGGGGCTGGTGGGGTACCCCACTTCCCGCCGCGCTGGCGGAGGCCCTGGAGGAAGCGGAGCCCGCGCGCCGCAGGTGTCGCAGCCGCTTCGGGGCCGCTCGAGGACTCCTGGGGCGGGCGTCTCAAACCCGTCGCGACGCGCCGTCGGAGTGGCGCGGTGGGATATACCCGGAGCCGCCTGCGACGACCGAGATTTTGCTTCAGGGCAAGGCGGCCTTTCGGGTCACACGTCCCGCAACATGGCCAGGCGGCGTTGCTTGCGACACCGCGGCTGGGGAGGCCTTCTTTGAGGCTGCCTCTGTCGAGGCCGAGCTTGCACAGGAGAGGGACGCAGTCATCAAGATGCGCGACGACTGATCCTGCACTTTTGCGGGTGCGGCGTCACGCCCGACGAGTGCCCAGAAGGAGACAGCGTCTGGTCGAGGCCCCTTGTGCACGTGGGTACGTGGCGGTACGCTTCACAGCCATCCTTGGGGCTTGGCCACGAAACCACCGAGGGCGACGACGACCTTGCGGAGGCGCGCGCTCCAGAGGGCCCCCGCGGGAGGCCCGCAACCGCAGCCCCGAAGCGCACTGCCGCGCGGAAGCCTGCACCAGTAGAGGCCATCGTAGCAGGGCCTGGCGGCGGAGCCAGCGCGCGGGCGTCGCCCTCAGGCAGGCGCGCCGCCGACCTCCGAAGCAAACTCGCAGGACTTCGCGAGAGGTTGAAAGGGGGGGGGCGAGAGGCCGCCGCCCTTGCCACCTTCTGCCGAACCCCCGCCCGATGAACGGGAGAGGAGGGCCAGTGGGCCTCGTGGCAGGTCTCCCCGTCGGCTACGCTCGCCGTCGCACGAGTATGAGCCAGGGCACGCCAGCTCTCGCCACGAAGGCAAACGAGCGGCCAAGGTGCACATTCAGGACCGCTGGGTCGCCAAGGCGGGCGCGGGCAGCGCCGGCGCGGCGGCCTCGCGACCAGGGGGGAGGAGCCGCGACCGCAGTAGGAGCAGGCGTCGCAAGGATCCAAGACGGGAGCGGCAATCGCAGCCGGAGCAGCTCCGGGAGCTCGCGGGACTGGAGTCCGAAGTCAGAGTTTTCCCTCGGCCAGACTTTCGGCGCGCGAGCGAGCCAAGCGCTCGATCGAGAGGGCGCCGGGCCTCATCACGGAGCGCGCGCTGGAGAAGATCCACGAGTACCTCGGCGGCAGGGGCGTCGTGATCGAGGGCCCCGCCGCGCCGATCGTGCACGCTCGCTTCGCCAGCGCGTGCATTTTTTTCGACGGGTGGGAGGCTGTCACAGCGCAGCGAGGAGGAGCTCAAGGTGCTAGCTACCGCCGTGGACCACACCTTTCGGAGCGAGTTCTCCAAAGCCCGACGTTTTGACACAGCAGCACAAGGCCATCGAGCAGGTGCACGCCGACGGCGGCGGCTGGCAGGCGGCGCGGCAATTTGCGACTGTCCAACGGGCCACGTCACAGTTATGGACGACAAGGAGAAGGAGAGCATCTACAGGGGCGAGAGGGCCGACCTCGGGGCGCAGCGGATGGCGGCCGAGGTCCAGGGTCGCAGGGGCACCAATCGTTGACAATCACCCCCGGGGAGCCCCAAGGGGGGGTGTCCTCGGGGGTTGGCGGGGGAACCCGCCGCGAGCTTGGCTGGGGCGTCAGCCTCGGCCCCGGCCCCAGGAACCGCCCACGGGAAGATCCGCCAGGGCGGCCGGAGGGGTCGCCGCTTCGAGCCGGGAGCCCAGCCCGTCAGTGGAGCCCTCGCGCGTTTCGCCAGCCGCCCGATGCGGTTCTCTCCAACCCGGGGAGCCCGGCAGAGGCCGTCAGGCGGAGCGTTTCTCCGATGCTCCATGGAGGGCGCGGGACAGGAGGAGCTTCAGAGGAGGAGGGCACGGAGGACGCGGAGCTCAACAAACGCAGTCGCGACCAGGACCGAGGGCGCGGTGGAAAGGCGGCAAGAAGGCGAACGAGGCCCAGCCCAAGGGCTGCTCGGCAGCGTTCTCGGCGCGGCAAATGAGGGCGTCCAAGAGGGAGGGCAGGGGCAAGGGGAAGCCCCCTGGCCCTCGCCAAGGCGGTCGGCGCTGACCCCTCCACCAGTGGAGGGAGGCCCCCTGAGCAGCGTTCTCGGCGCGGCAAAGGAGGGCGTCCAAGAGGGAGGGCAGGGGCAAGGGGAAGCCCCCTGGCCCTCGCCAAGGCGGTCGGCGCTGACCCCTCCACCAGTGGAGGGAGGCCCCCTGAGGCGGCGCGCAGGAAAGCCTCTGGGGGGGCTCGAGAAGGCGGGCAGGCGCGAGGCGGGCCTGGTACTGCGCGCTGGCACCTCAGCGTCGACGCAAGGTGCGGCAACCTCAGCGTCGACGCAACGCGTGGCAACCTCAGCGTCGTCGCAGGGTGTGGCAACCTCAGCGTCGTCGCAAGGCGCGGCAACCTCAGCGTCGTCGCAAGGTGTGGCAACCTCAGCGTCGACGCAACCTGCGTGAACCTCAGGTCGGTCGCCGGTTACCTCGACTGCGGCCAGCCTCTTCCGCTCGCAGTTGCGTGAGGCCCACCTTCGAGGAGCGGATCTCGCAAGTGTAGGTGAGCTGCTCTGCTCGTGCCTCTCTCCAGGAGCAGCGCGGCGGGAGTCCCGGCGCGCGTCAGCGCCGCGCGGCAGCGGCAAGAGGAGGCAGAACAGAGATCCGTTGCCGCTGCTCGTCGGGGGGACTTGCGCCGAGTGGAGGAGCCACTGCCGCGATACTGAGCAGCACCGCCACTTCCTAAAGCACGGCGATGCCAGCGGCAGGCGCGGCGCTGCTCACCGTCCGCCAGGGCTGGATGCCCGGTGCGAGCTTACCATGGTAGCCCTCGACATCATGCGGGGCAGGCCGAGGCTGTCTGGCCGCGCCCTGCTGGTGGCCACTGGAGGGCCACCTCAACTCCAGCGCAGATTGCTGCGTTTTGGCACATCGAGCGCCGCGTCGAGTCCTTCCCGCTGCCCTCGCCGGCGCCGCCCCTCAGCACCCCTGCAGCGGAGTTCCCAGCAGCTCGCGGCGCCACCTACGGAGGCGAGGCGGCGCGGCGAGCGGCGACCATCACCCGGCCCAGGTGCTTCCCAACTTGCCCCCATGTGGGGGAAGTGCGCTTCCATCCAGGTCACGGACCTCTGCGACCCGAGGATGGCCGAGCGGTTCGGGGGGCCCCTGCCCCCCCCTTGATCCGAGGCCGCCAGCCCGCGGCCAGGGCGGGCGCGCGCGGGCCCGTGCTCGCTCGCTCCACTTGGGAGGAGCCTTCTCGAGCGAGGTCTAGTCATCCCGCTGGAGCGGCGGCAGCTGCTGAGCATCGGGGGCGAGCCGCTCTTGAACGGGCTCTTCGGCGTCGGGAAGGGTAGCCCTGTCCCCGGGGGCCCGGGGGAGCGCGAGGTGCAGCGACTCATCATGGGAACGCGGCAAGCCGCGACGAGGTCGCCGATGTCGCTGCGCTTCTTTTTTTTTCTCTCAGTGGAGAAGCAGCGTGCCCTCGCCTGAGGAGGAGCTCGCCTGGTCCTTCGATCGACGACCCGAAATCCTTCACATCACTAATTTTGGGTCTCGGAGCCCACAGGGCGGTTTTTCATGTTTCCATTCGACGTTCCATGAAGCCCGATGTCATTCCGAGGCCGCGCGTCGAACGTTTTCGATGGCGCGTCGCGTTATGCGATGTCACGTGCGTTGGGGTCGTCAAAGGCTTGCGTGCTTGTTGCGAATCGGTTGATGTGGGTTGGGGTTTCTCAGCATTGTACATTTGCTTTGCGCTGGGGCGGTTCGGACCCCCATCCCTGGCAGATCCACCCCGCGGGTAACGTCGCAGGAAGAGTTTGGACATTTCGTTCGTAGTGCCAGCGATGCTGTCGCGGACATTGACCGCGCCAGGGGGGGTCGTCCAGAAATTCCCTACCATATTGCAGTGTTGGTTCTTCGTTTTGAAGAGACACCGCTCCGCGTCATTCCTTCCGGCCTCCTCCCTCGTCCTCCCTCTTCGCATATCTGCCCCTGCTCTCCGCGTGT